CACAAATGTAACATATAAAATTCATATATTTATACTACACAAAAAGCTAAATATCGACACAGTGTTGACCTCGGTGAAGCCGACACACCTGACCGTCCTCTCTGTCTTACAGAGCTGTAACGATGGAGGCAAAAGGAGGTGCAGATCCTTCAGGTCTAGATATGATAGAAACTCGGCCGTCATCACGATGTCCTGGAATAATTAAAGACAGCTCCCCTTCTGATGGATTACACGGTATGTGTGAGTTTGTCGTGGTGATTTGACTTTTCTTGGAGCTACAGATGTAGAGTTTGTCCTGTGGGTGGCGCCAGAGGAAAGGTCACGGGGTTGTTAATATGAAAACAGTTGATCCTCTCAGGAGCAGGAGTGTGATCAGGAACATTTACGACAGTCTCACTGTAGATATTTGATATTTTAACCATGACTCATCACAGTTTTGTCTCCTCAGGTGATTCCTCACTTGAGCTTCGTCCCAACAAGGAGCCTGAAATCTCAGAGTCTGAAGTTATCGTCGCTGTGAAACCACGCCGGCAGATAATCTTCATCTGATCCACCTGAGATGGTGTTTATCATCTCTGCAGAATCCGTGGGCCGCTGATTCAACCCACTGATTCATGCACATATAATCTGTGGAGAAATAACGGAAGTGAAGAGCAAAGAAGAACAAAAATACCGTGAAACTTCACTTAATAGCTTCACTGACTGAAGTCAACAGGCCTGTATTTGAGACAGGCCTTTAATTGCTGTCACACAAACTGCTGCTCAGCAAAGATCAGGAAATACAGTCAAAGTGTTTTTAAACCAGTCTGAATATTAGTTCTTTAAGAATTAGGCTCCAGATAACATATAAATTATGAGTCATTAATTTGGTCTAACTCTGACAGACGGAGCATCAGAGAGAGTTACAGCACTGGGAACACCGACACAAAACCACTTTGTCCTGTTAAAACAATCCTCACAACTTGGATTCATTTTTATGGATGAACCTTTTGACCTGAGGACCCCGACAGACTGAAGGAATATGAATAACCTACAGGGTAATCCAGGAATGGACACATTATTTGAGGTAGACAACAACCCGGGTTTAAACATCCAAAGAACTTGTATAAAGAAAATGAACTGCTTGGCAACCAGACCAGGCCTCTAATTGAGACAGGCCTTTATTTGTCAACATGTGTCTGGTTAAAGGGACTGGGTGTTAAACTGGGACGAGGCTTTTAATGGAAGTTTTACAGTAATCAGTGAAATAATGGAAGTGCAGTTAGGAACAAAAATAATCAGGGTTTAAAGGGTTTTATTTAGTCTGTGCACTACTTCCTGGTTCTGTGGGTTCCTTTAAAATATAAAGTTTGGAATCAGCTGTTCCATCGATGTTTTTTCTGGATTTCTTCAGTAATGACTCATTTTATTTTATTTTTCTTAAAAAAAGATCTGAATCAGACTCTAAATGTGTTATTTGGATTTGAAATAGTTTTTGGCCCCAGAAGAAGAAGAATGAAATGAGTGGATGTCCCCACAGTGTCTCATGACAGGGGACAATACTGTGTGAACATGGACGTTGAATTTGTCCTCCAGTCCAGGGGGGGGGGTTGGGTGCAGCAGTGGCTCCACAGGGACTTGGGTTGGGAACCAGAGGGTCGCCTGCTCGAGTCCCCGTCCGGACCAAAATATGGAGTGTGGACTGGTGGCTGGAGAGGTGCCAGTTCACCTCCTGGGCACTGCCGAGGTGCCCCTGAGCAAGGCACCAACCCCCCAACCGCTTGGGGCGCCTCACCAAGGGCAGCTCCCTCACTCTGACACTGTACACACACATACACTTTGTGCATGTATAGGTCCTGTTTGTGCATGTGTGTGTGTTTCAGACCTGTGTGTTATTGACAAGCAAGAGTGAAAACATTGAATTTCCCCTCAGGGGGATTAAATATAATCTAGTAAATAAACTTAAACTTAATGCAGTTCCTCTATGTCAGAGGTTCTCCACCTTTTGAAAATCAACTCACTCACAAGTTTTTTTGTTTGATTTAACATACTACACTGTGACTTCTTTTTTTCACAGATGTTTTTAATACAATATACGATATTTCTTTAACAGTTTTTTTTACATGCTATACAATGACGTCTTTTGCACAGTTCTTTCAACATGGTATATTACGACTTTTCTCAACATACCATATATAACTATGAAAAGTTTTTCAGCGTACTATTCAGTGAGTTGGGTTTTTTTTTACATTCTTCAGTATGACTTTTTTTTTTTTTAAATTACGATACAATGACTTTGTTCATGATTTTAGACGACATGCTATACTATGACGTTTTTTCATGGTTTTTGATGACATGAATTCAGGTCAAAGTAAACTGCATCACATGACCCTAACCCTAACGCTTTAAATGAAAAAGATTTAAAAAAAAAACAAAAAAAAGTCTAAATAAGGCTGATTTACTGCAGATGATGTCGTATGAAGGTCACATGATCAGCTCCTCTCTCACCTATAGAGTCAGCTGATCAGCCTGCAGACTAAAACCCACATATTTATAGTGATAACAAAAGCAACAAACAGCTATAACAACGATAAACACTTGCCCGTCAGGCTACCTAACATAGCTAGCTGGACTCCCTGGGCTCAGTTGTACTTACGTGTTTCCTTCTCACTGGTCCAGGGTGGAAATTCACGAGTTGAAATCGATGTGAAACAAATGCAACGCAGTCTTCCGACCAATGAACCCTCACACACACTCATCACAAACACTTCTGTGTGGCATACCTGAGGCGGGATTTGAACCCACAGCTCCTGCTCAGCAGTCCAGGACCTTCACCACTGGACCATCTCCGAGGCCAATCAGCACCAAGAACCAGAGAGACAAAGAAGACGAGACTGAAGCTTCAGAAACCTGTCTGATTGTTGTGTGTGAGAGTCCCTTCATTTCTAAGAGTCCTCACAGCTCAGCTGCTTGACACACTGGTCCACAGTCACTAGATTGTGGGTTCAAATCCCTCCTGAACTCTGTTTGCCCTTTCCTTCAGTGGTGGTTCAAACTGCTCTGCAGCTCCGACACATTTCAGCAGAATAATGACTCACTTCATATGTTTGTTTACCTGTGCTGCTGTTCTTTATGTCTCTAAATATGTCATTTTGACTTCCTATTAAAGTTGTAAAATGTTCTATCTGTTCTTTGTTCACAACTGAGAACCTGCACATGATCCATTCAAAGTCTTCACAGGGCAGCTTCACTATTTAAAAAGTCAGATGCAGGTGAAGGTCACATGATCAGCTCTTCTATCACCGGTAGAGTCATTTGATCAGCCTGCAGACTAAATCACAGCTTTCTATTCTGCACTGTATGTCTCCATCACCTGGCTCAATCCTGATACAGACGCTGACACGTCTTTATAAAAAACAGTTCAACACTTTTGGATGACATGCTATACTATGACTTTTTTATATGATTTTGGACAACATACTATACTATGACTTTGTGTCATTATTTTGGATGACATGCTATACTATGACTTTTTTTAAATTATTTTGGATGACATGCTATACTATGACTTTTTTTAAATTATTTTGGATGACATGCTATACTATGACTTTTTTTAAATTATTTTGGATGACATGCTATACTATGACTTTTTTATATTATTTTGGATGACATGCTATACTATGACTTTTTTTAATTATTTTGGATGACATACTATACTATGACTTTTTGTCATTATTTTGGATGACATGCAATACTATGACTTTTTTTCATGATTTTGGACCACATGCTAAACTATGACTTTTTTTCATTATTTTGGACAACATGCTATACTATGACTTTTTTTCATGATTTCAGACGACATGCTATACTATGACTTCTTTTCATTATTTTGGACGACATACTATACTATGACTTTTTTTCATTATTTTGGACAACATGCTATACTATGACTTTTTTTCATTATTTTGGACAACATGCTATACTATGACTTTTTTT